GCTCTCGCTTTCTCTCTCTCTCTCTCTCTCTCTCTCTCTCTCTCTCTCTCTCTCTCTCTCTCTCTCTCTCTCTCTCTCTCTCTCTCCTCTCTCTCCCTCTCTCTCTCTCTCTCTCTCTCTCTCTCTCTCTCTCTCTCCTCTCTCTCCTCTCTCTCTCTCTCTCTCCTCTCTCTCTCTTCTCCCCTCTCTCTCTCTCTCTCTCTCTCTCTCTCTCTCTCTCTCTCTCTCTCTCTCTCTCTCTCTCTCTCTCTCTCTCTCTCTCTCTCTCTCTCTCCTTCCGACAACCATATTCTCAACCATTCACTCATCTGCTTTGATAATAACACATCAAAACCTGATTTTCTTCCAATAATTGTCTTATCTTTACCCATACTCCTTAAACTTTTTTATGCCTTATCTTAAATAACCCTTTACAGGAGAGCATCCAGTATTAAAAAGGGAAAATCATGAGTTTAGTGAGTCCAATGCAAGCGTGCAATGTGCAGGCAACAATAACATCAGGCATGCAGGTAAGCAAGCATTGAAAAATAGTAAAGAATGCACAGTGTATGCATACCTCTACACACACAAACATACAGAGGGAACAATGCTCAATACAGTATAGTATTCAACTACAAACAAATAACTCAAACAACAAGATAAGAGCGTGAACTATTGATAAAAAAGTACAAAAGATCCAAGGACAAAATAATCACACGTGACTTTTTTTTTATACAAGGAACTAGAAGATGCAAGACAAGAATGGTTAAAGACAGGCAACTCTCGTTTAAAAAAAAATTCTTACGTGAACGGAGCATACAGTGACCTCTGCCGGGTGGACGAGCAGAGTAAGGAAGAGATTAGTAATTTGGTCATAAATTTTTTTTTTTTTTTTGTTTTTTTTTCACGGTTATTATTAGGATTAATTGCTGTTAACGTGATGGATATATTTTCTCTTACATTCCTGTCAGTGATATAAAGAAATAAAATGCTCTACTATATTAGCGTTGGCGGTAATGGTTAACCTTATCATTCTCAGCAATGTCAACATTACTTGAGAAAAATATCAATATACTATCCTTATTAATAGTAACAGCATTAGTTAATGTCATTCTCATTATTATTATCATTACCATTATCATAATTGTTATTATATTATTATTATTATTATTATTATTATTATGATTATTATTATCATTATCATCATCATCATCTTTATCATTACTATTATTATTATCATTATTATTTCTATTATCATTATTACTACTATTATCATCATTATCACAATTATTACTAACACTATTGTCACCGTTACTATAGATAACACATGCTATCTGTTATATTTCCCAAAATGCAATGATTAGTTTGATACCTATTGTAAACAGTAAATAAACACCTCTCATTCCTTAAGTCAAAGGAAAAGCTGCCTGTAACACACATATCAAAGTGATAATTATAATAGTATGATTATATAATAGTCCGAGTGACGTAATATCATGTCAATAATTCAAGACAAAGTTTTTCGTTTGATTCGCATTGACTTCCTGTTTTTCCGCAGGCACAGATGTTTGTCATTTATTCCATTTATATAAAAAATAAATAAATGAAATCAGCTTGTTGAATGACACGGACATGGGCAATACACAGTATAAGCTATTCTCCATGTTTATAATAGGCTACCCTCAACTCTCCCTTTCAAAAAACTCGTTTTCTGTGAAGCTCCACACGCGCGCGAGGGAGAAACACCATCGAATATGAAAATACCTATCAGTCTCACGATTATCCCCATTTACTCTCGTGTAGATACATACATCTTCTTTTTTTTACCCCTCACTTCCCCTCTCGGACCAAGAAACATGGGGCAAGGAAAGTGGATGATAAATAGATGCCTCGGCTCCTGGACCCTTTGGCTCTCGAGTATCTACGCTGCGTGTACGTACGGACGTCCGCTTTTCCTCTCCGCGTTAATGTTTAACAAGTAGGGCCGCGTATGCGTATGGCGGGATCATCTCCCGGTTAAATCAAGACGAGGAAAACGTGCGCCAGCCCACTACTTGTGTACAAAGCAGCGGGTTATCTCTCTCTCTCTCTCCGCGCGGAGATTGAAAAATGGGTGATTACATTCTTCGCCTCGGGTTTCTGTAGTGTGCATTTCCTCATTTTCCTCTTTCTTTTCGCTCTCTCTTAACGACCGGCCGTATATAGCGGCAGCAGCAGTTAGTGTAGCACTTTCGTGTGGAGAGCGAGGATGAGGAGTCGGCTGGAGAGAATGAAGGAAAAGCGGGGAAGAGGGGCGCTGCGGGCCGGGATGGACGACATTACTGCAGTCGAGAGAACGAGTTCGTTTCTCTCGGGGGAGGGGGGGGGGGGAGGAAAATCGTCTGGTAGGGTGCTGTTAAGGGTGAGAGGGAATCGCGAGTATGGGACGCTCGGGTGGGGACTTGGCCGTAGATCAACGGGAAGAGGAAAAGGGTGGAGGGGGGGGGGGATGCCGTGTCCTTAGCTGTTTTGTTATCGTATCGCGTGATAATATCTTTTGATAGGTAAGTATAAATGCTGCCCATTTTCTTTCTTACCAATTGCGTTATCATGGTAAGTATTACATACTGTAATTCACATGACAAATCAAATCAAATCCACTTACAAGAGCAAAGATTGCAATTACACTCGATCGCTTGATGGAAAGCGGATTGAAATGTTACCAAATCTATCTCTTAAATGCAGAAACGAACGCTATTTTGTACTGTATGACATTCTTTTTACTTTTTAATGAGGTATTCACTTAAAGTCATTCGACCAGGGTGCTATTTATAAAATCGATATCGGTTCAGGACAGATTCTGAAAGAGGAAGATTAAAATGAATAAATTAATCCACAGAAAGAAAACAGGAAAAAGAGAAAAATACACACCGGGGGTTGAGGCGGAGGCCGTGGCATCGGGTCTGCGGAGGAACCAGTCGGTCTTTCCTGCGCTGTCTGGCGGGAGGATGAGGGCGTTGCCCCACGCCTCGACCTGGTTGGCGTGGGGGTCGTAGGAGGTCTCGGGGCCTTCGTCGGTGGAGATGTACTGGACGGTAGCGAAGTACTGCAGGCGGCCCGGCACCACGAGAGGGACGTAAGTTCGGTTCCTCCGTCCTTCGCCCCCTCGGTGTGGGTGGCGCGGGTGTGTGTGATCTCTGTGCCGCTCTCGCTCGTCGTCCTCGTCGTAGTCCTCGTCGTCGTCGTCCCCGTGGTGGTGTCGGTGACGGTGGTGATGGTCGTGGTCGTGCGGGTCGTGGTCCGAGTCGTGGTAGTGTTCAGAGCTGTCGTAGCCCGAATCATGGTCTATGTGGACGTCGTGCCCATCGCTGTCGTAGTCGAAGTCCAGATCGTCGTGGTGGCGCGGGTGTTCGTGGCGGGGCGTGGTCGTCGGCGGGGCGGTGGTGGTCGTGGTAGTGGTGGTAGTGGTGGTTGTGGTGGTCGTGGTGGTCGTAGGTTCCTGATGGTCGCTGATCGCCGGCTCTCCGATATTGAGATTTGCCGCAACACGTCCAGGCATTACAGGGGGATCCCCGGGGCCCTCGCACGGGCAGGGACATTTGCATGGAGGATCCTGGGATTGCCAGTGTTCGCGCCGAGGCATAATAGTGTCACCCTCGCCTCCTGCCGCTCCCCCCGCCACCCCGTCTCCGCCAGTCCCGCCCGCGCCTTCACTGCTGACAGGAGAAGAGTTATTGTGAACGCCCACACACGCCGTGTATCCTCCTCCGCCGGCGACAGCGGATGTGTCATCTTCGTTTGCTGAAGCGAGAGGAATATTTCTTCCTTCCACGGGATATTGCTCTTCTTCTTCTTCTTTCCTTTCATCTCCACCCGCGTCCCCAGAAGCCGAGCTGCTGAGGTTTGTGCTGTCCCCGTGGGTCGGAGAGCCGCCTTCGTGGGCGCTTCCATGAAATTCCGGGCGGTGGAAGATATGGTCGTCAGGTCGTGCAGTGGTGACAGGGTCTTGGTACGCTCCAGCAGGTGGTCCTGGAATCTGCCAACTTTCTTCTCCCTGGGCCTGTGATGGCGTTTGGCTTCCTGGAGCTCGATGGTCGTGTCCTTGGTCATGGGAAGTACCTGCGAGTTCGTCACGACCGGCGCCGTAGGAAGTCACGTGACTCTCGTCTTGTGTCCCCCCGCCGTCACTTTCAGTATGATTCTCGTGATCATGCCCAATAGGCGGTTCATTCGGATGACTGCTTCCTTCATGGTTGTCTTGTCTTTCTGCATGCCCATATTCGTGTCTATGTTCTTCTGACTGTCTATCCTTCACGTCACCCGTGCCTTCACCGTCGTATCCGTGTCCTCCTTCATAAGCTTGATTCTTTCTGTTTCCTTCTTCGTACTCGTAATCGTCGAATGAGTCCTCGTAACCGTGTGCTTCGTCGTCGTACACATAACTGTCACTTCCAAGATAATACTCAAAATTTGACCCGTCTTCCTCGGCGTTTTCCTCTTCTCTTCCCTCCTCTCCTTCCTCCTCCTCATGATAATTCCCCCTCAATGGAGGAATCTGATCTTGTCTATTTCCCCCAGCAGGATCCCGTGAGCTGACCTGAGTGTGGACAGACTCCTGATTGGGATTACCGGCCACTTGATTGCTTCTTGAAAGGAAATGGTGTCCTTGGTTGGCTACAGATGCCGTAGGAACGATCCCCAATTTCTTACGCTCGCTGTAACCCGATGCTTCCAGAGAGCCAGAAACTGATTGTCTTCCTGCCGACGTCTCTATCCCTCCTTGACGATTATACTCTGCCTCGAGCGTCTCCTGGCGTTTATATTCCGCCTGCAATGTGGTGTCTTGGTCGCTGTGAGCGTCGAGGGGCGAGGGGGAGGGCCGGGGGTAGGCGGCCGCCTCTGCACTCTGATTTCCAGCAAAAGAAGGGTCGTCTTCGTCGGGGAGGTCCTTGCTGGTGATCTTGGCTCGGTGATCCTTGGCCGTCACGTCATTGATTCCAATTCTGTCGGTCGCCGTGTCCAGAGGATCTGATGACGATGAGGATGTCTCGCCCATCACGATCGATGACTTCTTCTGGTGCAGAGAGATGTCTCCGATGACAGGGAGGGCGAGGGAACCGCTTTCCTCCCGTTCGTAAGAAATTTCATTACTCGCTTGGAGGGCCAGAGGAGGATCACTGGCAGCAGAAGACGGTGGCACTTGAACTGTAGCTTCACCTTGCTCGTTGAAGGGCTCTCGCTGCATACCGGTACCGATACCTTCTTCCCTCCCCTCCTCCTCCAGGTCCCCCTGGGAGCCGGCAGAGGGCTGGCGGAAAGGAGGCTGAGTGACGGAGGGAGAGAGTGCTGTCGGCTCCGACCTCATCTCGCCGTCCGCCGTCATCATAGTAGAAATTCCAACAGGAGCGTCCGGGGCTTTGTGAGCATTACTAGGTGATTGCTCTCGGCTCGGACCATCAGTGGCGAGAGAGGCATCAAGTGGCTCCTTACGAGGATCAATATTTACCCCGCTATGATGACCTGGCGAGAGTGAGGGATGGGAAGCGGACTGGTGTTGTTCTTGCAAGGCAGAATCCTCAAGGACACGACTGCGGCTGTGGGTCTCCACGTGGTGCGTCTGTGTCGTTTCCTCTTCTTCCCCTTCTTCTCGCCCCTCATATCCCACATCCTGCTCATCTTCCCCTCTTTGGGAGATCGCGGGGATTTGGTCCTCCTCCCGTGAAAATCCCCCCACTATTCCCTGCGTGTTTTCACCTCTGTTGTCATATCGGGGCTGAGAATCGTGTGTGGGGGCGGAGGCTTGAGGTAGACTACCGTGGGCGTTGGTGGTCTGGGAAGGAGGGGGATGATCACCGTAAGATTCGTCTTGGTATAGACGGTCATCATTCAAAGGAGGGGACAAACCATCCTGGGAATGCGTCGGAGTAGCTTCCCCAGCATTATGATAGTCTGAAGGACGGTTCTGATTATCCTGATACTGTTCTTCCCCATTAGAGGCATGAAAACCCTCTGGCGACCCGTCTGCCCCATTTTCAGCGGAAATAGTCAAGTCCTCTTTTATGTCTTCTTTCTCCTGTTCTGACGGAGCCGCTTCGTGCGACTGCGGTTCGTCATTGATTAAGAAATCAAGATCTCTGTCGTCGAAAAAAGAGTCCATTCCAGAGTCTCGTTCGTAATCCCCCCAGTGTCCCGTGGCGTCGTAGCTCCCCACTTGTTCCTGAGACTCAGATTCCCCTCCTTCTCCTTCTACTCCCGTCCCCCCCCCACCGCCCTCTCTTACTTTATCGTTATTAGCGGGCGTTACTTGTGGTTGCCGCATTATACCATATTCAGTTTGATTAGCGAGAGAATCCCCATAAGAGGCAACCACGTTTGTGTTATTAACGTCCGGATGGCTCCGGTTTATGGCCCCATCAGCGAGGGGCGTTTCAGGGGAGGAGGTTACGCCTGCTGGGGAAGCCCGGTCGTGGGCAGCTGTGGCGGGCCGGGGCGCCACTCCGGGTGTTTCCTCCGCACGGAGTTTTATGAGCGCAGGGATTTCGGTGCTGCTGTGACCTGTAGTCATGGGGAGGGCAGTGGCTAAGTAGGGTATGGGGGCTGTAGGGACGCTGGTGCTTCGGGTCGGGCCGGGCGAGGGGACAAGAGGCGGCGCGGGAGCAACAGTCTTGGCGGCCGTTGTCACTGTTCCGGTGTTTGTGACGACGTCAACAGGTGCAAAATGAGGATGAGGCGAATTGACACTTGAATCAACAGGTGTATCGAACGTGCCATCAAAGGCGCCAGGATCATCACTAATGTACGTGTATTCCTCCACGCCGTCGAGGTGCGGCAGGGCGCTCTGCAGTGGTGCAGCGCGAGGCGACCCTGCGGAGGTAGAACTACGCGGAATGACATATTGCGACAACGAATTCGCGTCTTTTATTGGCGAGTCAGATGTCCCGGCAGACGCTGCGTATGTTCCCGTCCCGGATGGAGAGTCGGCGGGTCGAGGCCAGTAATGCGTGGCGGGGTCGCCTTGAAAGTCGCGTGACGAGCCGCTGTTAACATCGAAGTCGGCAGAAAGTGCGGAGGGGGAAGAGGAGGAGGGAAGCGGCGAATCTGTATGATCGGAAACAACTGGAGTGTCTGGATCTTTTCTTTCCTCGAGTGTGTCAGTATATCTTAGATGTGCTACAGCCTCTCCCTCAGTCGTGGGCCTCTGGAATGAAGGCAGAATGAGGGGCGTCGAGGCCGGTGTCTCTGGAGTCACTTGGTATTCATGATGGTCGGAGGGGGTGTTCTCTAGAGATGGGTTCTCCTCCTCTCTCTTCGGCCTCGGCGCGATGGCATAGCCGGATGAGGCGAGCCCACGTCCCCTGTCTGCCATGATGCCTCGCCACCGTTCATGCAAAACCGTTTCTTCCCCGCCATGCACGCCCGCCTCGTCTTGCCGAGGTAATTGTTCGGACAAGGACTGGCCTTTAAAAGGGACATAAAGGCCTGCATTTGTGCGGTCCTGCGTGGCTGCTGGTGAGGTCACGGTCGCCGCGACCTCAGGCGTCG